TGATTTCACTTTGGTATATTCACCGCATGAAATGAAACAAGTTTCCCGTTTATGGTCCGCATTATTCTGGCTTTACAACGGCAGTCTGTTTCTGAACAAGGCCTGGAATGATATTCTAAAGGCAGTATGAGCTTGAAATCTTGTTTCGAGTCACATTTGACTTTAACTAAGATATCATTCCACACATTGTTTCAAACCCGAAAATTTCTGAGACTGCACCATGCCTTGTCGAAAATATGAATCTAGAACTGAGGTTAAACTCAGAGCGCAGCGATATTCAGTTACATGATGCTAGAATTGGTCACTGTTACGGGTAGCGTGTTGCTATCATTGCTCTAATATTGGCACTGATAGTCTACAAAACTGAGTTAAAATTGCAATTTTTACGCTTTGGTGCTACCAACGCCGATTGGATGTTCTGAGATCAGGCATCCTGTGTCATTTATGTTTCTCACCGCAATGTTTTTTGAAAAAAATTTCGGAATTTTGAGTCGTGGTTTGTTCGGATTTTTTTTTTGCTCTTAATGTATGCAAAAATTTGTGCTTGAGGCCATAGCCCAGAACGGAAAAAGAAATATGCGTTGCTTTCAGATTTCTTCTCATGTATAGCTACCACAGATTCAAGTTTACACAGATTTCATAGTTTTGGAATGTAATCGGATACATATAGTTTAAGGCTTTGCTCCCAGTGTTTCAGATCATTGAGTTTATCAGCTTTTCGATTTGACAAAAAAACGACAAATGAACTGCAGGAGTCTTCTGATAGATTACCTCATTCTTGTATTTGGTCATAACCCATTCGGATGAATTTAAGTGCTGCAGCTGAATTTCTCTTCCGTCGTATGTTCGGACAGTGGTATCGCCTGAGAAGCAGTTCGAACCACCTCTGCCTGCAGTACATTAAATTCCACATTTATTTGTCAGACAAAGTACCCAAATAATCAGTACAAGAGCGATTTTACACAAGACATTAGAACTGTTTTCCTTTCTTCAGGAGTTGTAGCAATTACTCGAATATGGAAGTTCACTTATTCATTTGGAAGACAACTACACTTATTCATTTTGCTTCAGGTGCTTAACCTGAAGTTTAAAATTCCAATTTATTTAATCCCCTTTTAAATTTATAAAACCGATGGGGCCAAGCTGCCAGAGTAGAAGCAAATGCCTAATTTTTCTTATTCCCGAGTTAATATTTTTTCTGCTAACTCGAGAGCGAGAAAAGCTGCCACACCTGACACAG